GATGGTGAAACATCTACATTAAAGATATCCAGATGTTGCACATGTGTCTTAACTTTCATATTGTCAGTATTTTATACCTTTCTGCACTACCAGTAGAAGTTTATCACTGTGGAAGTTTTTTGTAGGTACGTATTGGATTGAATTAGCTATTATATATTCCCCATGTTCATCCCTTGTGCATGTATTATTGATTACATTGAAGATGGTCTGAGTAGTATATAGCCGTGCCACCCCCTTGTTGATCACTGGCCTACAGTTTTTGTGTATGCTGTGTAACCAGAATGGCATAGACATTTAGTATCAGGCTTTAGCCAGGTTCTGGCCGAGAGTAATGATGGGGACATACTGCATGCAGGGAATTAGTAATGCTGTGGAGGTCATCGTAATTTTGCTTAAAGTCTGACACTGTAGTTAAAGACAGTTAATGTTTGTTGTTGGGGCTCTGAGAATCCTTTGATTGTCTGTCTGTGTATAATTACAGTAGCTGTTTTATTATTTCAATCATTCAACAAGAGTTGTATCAGGATCATGCTTGTAATCATAAGATTTTATAGTAAATCTAAAATTAGACTTAAAGCAATTAAACAAAAGTATATATTCTAAAGCTAAAAATAGCACCTGAATTAGTTTAACAAATGTAAATATATGAACTAAGGTAGTTCTTTTAATGATATAAATAGAGGAGACAATATAAAAGGGACTAAAATAAGTTGTGGTGAACAAATGAATGGTGATCAAAAATGGGACGGGGGGGGGTTGTAAAGTAGAGTTCTTTAAAGGTAGTTTTTAAAGCTAAAATAAAGAAGACAATATAAAAGGGACTAAAGTAAAGTTGTGGTGAACAAATAAAGTGTGATCAAATAAAGAGCTTGGGAAATATAATAGTAAAATAATGAACGTATTACACTTTAGCACCTGAGAAGAGCACCTTGATTATTTTAACAGTTGTGAATATATGAACTAAGGTAGTTATTTAGAGCTAAAGTAAAGGAGAAAATATAATAAGGATTTAAACTAAGTATGTAAAACAAAGCTGAATGGACAGATAGTCACTATGATATAATGTTGACTTGGGAGTAAGATCTGACTTGTAATATATAATAAGTTGAGCAATTAATTGCACTATAAAAATTAAACAAAATATGAGATAGTTGGTACTAGCTAGCAAATGATAGCAAATGATAGTTTTGGGAATTGCACAATAATGTAATTGGAATATACACTAATTGCACACACAATATAAAAGGGACTAAAATAAGCAGTGGTAAACATAATTAAATGGACAGGTAGCAACCATAAATAACATTAATTTAGGAGTAAGATTTGACTTGCAGCACAAAATTTTGAGCAATTAATATCAATTAAAAAGATGGTCAAGAAACAGAGTTTACAGAGAATGAAGACTTGCACTGCATTCGGGGGGGGGGGTTGGGGGGGTTTACCATTCAAAGACTGATGGGAGGTTTGAATTCTGTCTGCCAGTTAATAATAATAATAATAATAATAATAATAATAATAAGTTTATTTCTTTTGTAAAGGTTACAATGTGTAATTGCAATTATGATTTGCTAAGTACAAAGATAGCCACTATCATGCCGAGGTATTTTGGGCAAACTAATCCTAATACATAGTAACTAATTAAAATTAGATAAGATAATAAAGGTCCGCCATCACAAATCCGGCAATCAGTTATTCGGTTCCTTCAGTTATTCGGCACTAATTTTGGCTAGCATAATTTCAAATTTCTGGGGTCACCACATCAACCTGCTGCTACTGTTTGGTGGCACTACTTGCTGCATAAGTCACTCAAATTTCTTTTTCTCCATTTATTGTTATAACCTGCTTACTTTTAGCCCTAGCCATGGTTCTAATAAATAAAAGAAATGCTTCTCATTATGTAAAGCACCTACACAGTACACTATCCATTAAAGATAAGGTGGCTTGAGCACTGTCAGTTTGCCATGACTCAGTCTCATGATGCTGGAGTTTACCTGGAGACAGTTCCGGGGGTCAACGCCCCCGCGGCCCGGTCTGTGACCAGGCCGCCTGGTGGCTCAGAGCCTGATCAACCAGGCTGTTACTGCAGGAGAATATGCTTTATTACTATGCTAATATCAACACTTCAGCTTATTTGCCTATCACAATTGATCTAATATGACATAAAAAACAATATAAATAACATAAAACATGTTAAATACTCCAGAATGAATAATATTTGGCATAATACCGAGCAGTTCGACGGAGGTATGAAGAGGATATGGTATACAAATACCATTCTCCTATCCCTGTCTTGGGGCTTATATTAGAGAAAATGGAGTGTAGCACAGGGCTAACTGTGATATGCACTCGTACTGCACCATAAACCTGAAACAAAAAAGTTATTTTCTCTATATAGATTATCACACATAGCAGCATGTGTGTAGAGAACCTAGGATAACCCAAAAAAGTTAACGTGGCTTATTTCTAGTACCTGGCTTTGGTTAACCATATATGATTTTTGGTAATATTCGATTCCCAGCCAGGGTAGAAACATTAGGCTTGTTTCTTTAAACTGTTGACTATATTACCCATCAGTAAATGGGTACCTGGGTGTTACCCGACTAGTGTGGGTGTTATCCTGGGACACTGACCTAATTTTCTTGAAATACTCTGCATAACAAGCGGCTTTCTATATAATAGTATGTCACTGATCTCAGCTAGGCCTGTATACCTTGTACATGTACGTGTAGTAAATAAAGATATTATTATTATTATAATTATTATTATTATTATTATTATTATAATTATTATTATTAGTGTTATATTTTCTCAATTGTTTGTTGCGTTATCTTATTGAAACTAGGGCAATGTATGGTGGGAAGATACTTCTTAACATACACCAAAAATGAAAGAAATCAGACCATAAATAGCGGAGTTCACCTCTCAGCCATTAGCGGGTGCTTAGCGGTATATTTTTGTATGGTTTTTATGGTTTTTATGGTTATATTCTCATTTTTTCGGTCTCATTTGATAGAATGAAAGATATATTACAGAAATAGATACGATTTTGATTGCTTTCATGACGAAAAGTACCTTGAAATTGCGCTCACAGTAGCGAAAATGTTCTATTCTTTAGTGAAGCTAAATACCTGTCCGCCTGCCTGTCCAAATTCCAATACGGAGTTGGGTTGACATTATTTATACAATTATTACAATAATGCAGCAGTCTGCATAACAGTGAATCTTTTATTTTTTTGTGAAGTAAAAGTTCCAAATTGTAAGCAGAGTACTAATAAGAGGGGTCTGGAGCCATGACTAATGAAAGAGAAAAGTATTTTAGTGCCAGGAAATGTCCTGCAATAGTTTATTCTGACCCTATTTTGAAATTTGGCCAATTGTGAAATTTGTGTGAAATTGGCCAAATTGACAATTTCTGACCACTTTATGGGTAGTTGAAATACGTAATGGCAGTTTCCGTACTCAGTCAACAGACTAGAATAAATAAGTTTACTCATGGGTATACACAAATACAGTTACATAGATTATCATACATAGCAGTGTATGTATAGAGAACCTGGGAATAACCCAAAAAGGTCAGACAAAATAACTTATTTCCAGTACCTGGCTTGGACTTGCCATACAGATTTTTGGTAAATTTTTTTCTATCTGTTTGTACGTGGGCCTATCTCCTGAAACTTGGGCAATGTATGATGGAAAGATGCTTCTTAACGTACAACAAAAATAAAAACAATGGACGATAAATAAGGGAGTTCACGTCTCAGCTATTAGCTGCCTCTTTGCAGTATATTTTCGTATGGTTTTTATGGTTGTATTCTCATTTTTTAGGACTCATTTGATTGAATGGAAGATATATTACAGAAATAGAGATGATTTTGATTGGTTTCATGACGAAAAACACCTTGAAATTGAGCTCAAAGTAGCGGAAATGTTCGATTTTTGCTGATGTTCAATGAACTTTGTGTAAGTCAAGTTGGTTAATTTTATCAAGTGTATTCTAACCTAACCACTCTGTAATCCCGTCAAACCTCAGTAAATCCGGCCACACATAGGTCCCCAATAAATGCCCGATTTGTGATGGAAGACCTGTAGTACATAGTAATTATACTTAAAAACTAAACATGGAATAATGGTTAGCTGTTTTACAATCTTATTTGGACTTAATAAATCTTATGTATACTTAGTGCAAAATCTAATTTACAAGGAATGGTGCAGGTGGTAATATTTTATGGAATGGCAGAATTAAAAGCCAGGTGGTCACTTTATAAAGCTATGTCTTCCAGAGCCAGTAGATGTTTGGTTGATTTGGTAATATCGTGAGATATGCCACCTAAATGTTGGTAACTTCACAGTATAGCATTGTGATCCTGCCTCTGATATTTCCGAGGGGGGTGACTTTTGAAGATACAGTACAGGTAGGAGTTGTAGGCCATATGGATCATCCTTGCTGCTTTATGTTCATATTATAACTGAATATTTTACCCATTTCATGACTACTAAAAGACCGCAGAGTGATAAGGCATACTGTACTGTATTAACTTCAGTATCTTGCTTTTTCTCTCCCAGATACTAAGCAGAGACATGTTTGAACTTTTTGGATTTGAGATTCATTAATCAAAAATTACATATATTAAATTAATTTGTGCTCTTATATAGGCTTATTGCTTACTTTAAACTAAGCTTTCATTAATTTGTTGGCCATTAAACTGGGTTTGCTTATAATGTATTAAGAGAAATAAGGCACATATAACCCACACGTAAGAGACTGAAACTTATGACGATGTTTTGGTCTGGTTTGGACCATTAGCTAGTCACACAGAAAAGCATGAAGGGAAGAGAGCCAAAATATATATGAGAGGATATTGGATGGGAGTGGTAGAACTGCAGGAGGGACTAATATTAATTAAACAGGAGAAGTCTCTTTTTTTCAGAGTATAATTTGATAATTGGTATTTTCTGACAAAAAATTCTATACAGTATTATATGTAAAATTTTTCTTGCAGGAATGGATTGCAGCCCCTGTAAAACCAGGCATGTCTGTATTTCACATTGGAAAACGAAAACCACCTTTCCATAAATGGGAGCCCATTTACATTGGGACCAACCGAGAACCTTTATATGATGAACGATTGTCCTGGGAGGGTAAAAGTGACAAAATGACCCAGGTTAGTGCATAAATTTAGTTTTATAGCCAAGAGCCACACATGGGTGAAATGCAGTATTGAGCTGGTAATGAAAGTAATAGCAGTAATCATAAACCCACCCAGTTGTTTTGAGTAAACGGTTTACAGTAGACTCTCGAATATGCAGGGGAAAAAAAGTGGAATGCAAATTAAAGCAGATATGGGGAAAATAGTTTTACATTCATGGGACCCTCAAAATGCCAGTTTTTTAGTCATGTAATTCTAAACAAAAAAATGTAATTGTAGTTATATGTAATGAACATAGATAAGAGTAAGGTGATGAGATATCAAAATGAGATATCAGATTGGTGGGAGGGAGTATGGAAGAAGTGAATGCAGATATTTGGGAGTGGATGTGTCAGCAGACACATCTACTCCCAAATATCTGCAACCATAGAATTGAAGGGAAAAAGGTAGGTGGTGCATTGAGGTATCTGTGAAGACAAAGAGCATTATTCACGGAGGCAAAGAAGGGAATGCATGAGAGTATAGTGGTACGAACACTCTTGTATGGGTGTGAAGCATGGGTTGTAAATGTTGCAGAGAGAAGAAGGCTGGAGGCAGTGGAAATGTCATGTCTAAGGGTAATTTGTAGGGTCAGTATTATGCAAAAAAATTGTAGTGTGGAAATTAGGAAGTGCAGAGTACTAAAAGTATCATCAAGAATGCTGAGAAGGGGTTGTTGAGGTGGTTTGCTCATTTAGAGAGGATGGGAAGGCATGGTAGGGATCGTCCTAGGAAAGGATGGAGAGAGGAGTGAAGGAGGTTTTGTACGCATGGAGCTTGGACATACAGCAGGCATGTCTGAGCATGTTAAATAGAAGTGAGCAGAGACGAATGTTTTCTTGGGATTCAACAAACTGTTGGAGTGTGAGCATGGTTATATTCTTTGAAGGGATTCAGGGAAGCCAGTTAACAGGACTTAACCCCTTGACTGTCGAAACCCCAAATCCTGAGGTGTCTTCTGGTGTCGAAAAAATTTTTGAAAAAAAAAAAAAAAAAAAAAAAAAATTTCTTATGAAATGATAGAGAATCTTTTCCCGGTGGTAATGACACCAAAAGAACGAAATTTGATGGAAAAGCTACGGAATTACGCTCTCGTGAAGTTAGCGACCTTGGTGATATTTACGAATCGGCGATTTCGCCCACTTTGAGCCCTATTTCCTGCTAATTCCATTGTTCCAGTCAACCAAACTCATAGCTATTTCTTTAGAACTCCATTTGTTCTATCAAGTGAGTACAAGAAACTGCCCATTTACCGATTTTAACTACCCAATAACGTGGTTAGAAATTTGCAATTTGGCCAATTTCACGCAAATTAAAAAAATGCCAGTTTCAAAATAGGGTCCAGAATGAACAACGCAAACATTCCTGGCTCTAAAATAACATTTTCTTTGTTCATTAGTCACGTCTCCAGGCCCCTCTAATATTACTCTTGCTTTCTATATTGAATTTTTATTCAAACAATACTGTAATAATTGTATAAATAATGTCAATCCATTCATGACTGCATATTAGAATGGCTAGTTGGACATTTATTGGACAATAACATCATTTGTTTACTTTTGAACATCGGCAAAAATCCAACATTTCCCGTTTTGAGCTCCATTTCAAGGTTCTTTTCATAGTAAAACCAATCAAAATCACCTCTATTTCTATAATATTTTTCCATTCTATCAAATGAGACCAAGAAAACGAGAATACAACCATAAATACTATATGAAAATACACCACAAAGTCGGGGTTTTAATCCAAAAAAACGGTTGAGTTTTTGTTTTTCTCATTATGCACTGCCTGCTGCAGGATTTTTTTTTATGGTGCACACTGACCACACAGACCCATTCTCTCACATGTGGGCCTACCAGCTTTCTCCTGCTTGATTTGAAGCCGCTAGAATTTTTGAGTATATATACATCAAACACGGTGGCTCGTAAGACGTATATATACGGCCAAAACAGTCAAAGGGTTAAGTCCTGAAGTTGGGAAGTATAGTGCCTGCACTCTAAAGGAGAAGTTTGGGATATTTGCTGATTAGAGTGACATCTAAACTGTTATATCTGCATGCCTCTGGCAAGACAGTGAGAGATGGCCAGCATGTTAAAATAATATATACCTAGAGGTTACCTAAATTAATGTTTTTTTGTTTTAAATTCTGGTTGCTGATGTATGCTTATTTTTGCAAGCATACAGGGTCTAAAGCCATGAGCAAACAATAATATTCCTTACATCAAGTGACTGCTCACGGAGTCAAATGCAACCATACTTCGGGTGGGGATAGAATCCGTGATCAGTGAGTCTCAAAACTCCAGACTGTTGCGTTAGCCACTGGGCCAGCCAGCCACAATAAGATGGCTTTGAGGGGACTTGAGCTAGAGTTCGTCATGGCCATGCTAGCTTGAGATTCATCTGTAAAAACTTGCATATGTGGTCACAGTGGTGCCTATGCTAACCTTTCTATGGTGTAGAAATATACCTAGTTGGATGAATCTTATTGTAGCTAGCTGGCCCAGTGGCTAATGCAACAGTCTGGAGTTTTGAGACTCTCTGATTGCGGGTTCTATCCCTGCCTGTGGTATTGTTTGTTTGCAATTGTATCATTACGATTTCGTGAGTCAAATGCAATCTTTGCAGCTTTCTCAGAGACCCACATAAAAGATTATTTTGACAACGAAATATGGATCCCAGGGTATAACCTATTCAGATGCAACAGATTAAACAGGCAACAAAGGGGGATTTGGCTTGTATGTCACAGAGTCGCTCACTTGCTGAGAAATACTAAATACTGTACAGTAGACCATCATTTAGGACAAGTTTTTTGGCACAATTTGGGTATTGCATGATTGAAGAATTGTGGCACAATTTTATGTAACACGTCGTATAATTAATTTAACACGGTTCAGTTTGTGGGAAGGAAAAAAAAAATCTCTTTTGCTTAAGCAGCCGCCTTGTTGTGGAGCAGCCAGGGAGCCCTCCTGCTATCTGTTACCACTCCCCTGACACCACCCCACCATCCCAGTGTTCGTAATTCATACGTGTCCAGTCCAGTCTTTCTCTGCTATAAGACACCTGTGTTTGTGTTATGATACTTTAAATACTATCTCTTGTATCTGCCAAGCAATCATGACAGCAGCCATACCAGTGTTGCTGAAAGTGGCATGAAGAGGTATAAGCACTTAAGTCTTAGAATTAACAAAGAAACAAAGATATTAGACAAGAGATAACCTGTAGCCGTAATGAAGTATTACTTTGTATACAGAAAACGAGGTAAACATGAGTTTGTGTGACTGACTTACTGAATGACTGACTGACTGAACTGACTTACTGAGTGACTTGACTGACTTACTGAGTGACTTGATTGACTTACTGAGTGATTTGACTTATTGAATGACTTGACTGGCTTACTGAGTGACTTGACTGACTTACTGAGTGACTTGACTGACTTACTGAATGACTTGACTGACTTACTTACTTACTGAGTGACTTACTAAGTCATTCAGTAGGAATCCTTTCCAAGATACGATACTATGTACCACAAACGACTCTCCTTACCCTGTACCACTCTCTAATATAGCCTTACCTCACCTATGGTATTTATGCCTGGGGCTCAACCACAGCCAACTACCTTAGACCCTTAACCCTTTCAGGGTTTCGGACGTACTAGTACGGCTTACGCACCAGGGTTTTTGACGTACTAGTACGCCTAAATTTTAGCACCCTCAAATCTAGTGAGAGAAAGCTGGTAGGCCTACATATGAAAGAATGGGTCTATGTGGTCAGTGTGCACAGTATAAAAAAAAATCCTGCAGCACAGTGCGTAATGAGAAAAAAAAAACTTTGACCATGTTTTTGGATTAAAACGGCAACTTTGCGCTCTATTTCCGTATGGTATTTATTGTTGTATTCTAGTTTTCCTTGTCTCATTTTATAGAATGGAAAACATATTTCAGAAATTGAGATGATTTTGACTGGTTTTACCATGAAAAGTTCCTTGAAATTGAGCTCAAAGTAGCAGAAGTGTTCGATTTTCACCAAAGTTCAAAAGTAAACAAATCATGCTAAGCGTCCAATACACATCAACTGGTGAGTCTAATATTCTTTCACAAGTGCACCGATATTATTTAAACCATTTCTACACTAATTCAGTAGTCTGCATAACAGTAAATCTTCTATTTTTTTGTGAGAATAAAAATTCAAAGTGGAAAGCAAAAGAATGTAAGAGGGGCATGGGGACGTGACTAATGAACAATTATTAACAGAGGAGATGTTATTATAGTGCCAGGAATGTCTTTCTTGTTTATTCTGGACCCTATTTGGAAATTGGCATCTTTTGAAATTTGTGTGAAATTGGCAAAATTGCTAAATTCTGACCACTGTATTGGATAGTTGAAATCGGTAAATGGGTGGTTTCTTGTACTCATTCGATAGAAAAAATGGAGTTCTAGCAAAACAGTTATGATTTTTGTCGACAAGTACACTGGAATTGGCCGAAAATAGGGCTCAAAGTGGGCAAAATTGCTGATGCGTAAACATCGTCGAGACTGCTAACTTCGCGAGAGCATAATTCCCTAAGTTTTCCATCAAATTTCATACTTTTGGTGTCATTATGATCGGGAAAAATTCTCTATCTTTTGATAAGAAAAAATAATTTTTTTGTTTAAATTTGGGCGACCCTGAGAGCAAGTGTGGGAAAGGGCCTGGGGACCCTGAAAGGGTTAATAATCCAACAAAAAGCTGCTGTGCGGGTGATAACCAGTTCCTGTGCTAGACAGCACACTCCACCACTTTTCAAAAGACTCAACTTGCTAAATATACAAGACATACACTCTTATTATTGTGCCTACTACATATACAGAAGCTTAAACTCCACTGTAAACCCTTCCCTAAAGCTACTCCTTGACAGTTACAACAGAATGCATAGGCACAATACTAGGCATAAGACACTGTTCAACATCCCTCGAGTCAGACTCTCACTATGCAAGAAT